CTCAGGAATAAATCTAACCAGAGAAACAAAAGATCTAGACAAAAAGCCACAAAACACTACAATAAGAAATGAAAGACATACAGATCAATAGAACAGAATTGAGAACGCAAAAGTAAATCCATCTGCCTACACTCAGAATGAAATACACCTGATCCTGAGTCAACCTCACTATTGTTACGTTTAAGTCCATTATTGCTGCCACTGTGTCAATCCATCTCATTGGGGTCTTCTACTTTTGCACTTATACTTTATCAAACATGATTTCTTCTCTAGAGCTAGGTCCCTGCTGACAACATGTCCAAAGGACAAAAAGATGAAGTATCAGCCATCTTGACTTCTTTGGAGCAATCTACCTGTATTTCTTCCCAAACAATTTCATCGTTTTTTTTTTGTTTTGTTTAGCAGTCCATGGTATTTTTAATATTCTTCTCCATACCACAATTCAAATGCATTGATTCTTCTCTTCTTTTTCTATTAATTGTGTAGTTTTTGCATGCATATGAGAAGATTGAAAATACCTCTTTAGCCCTCAAACTGACTTTTTGCTCTTTTAATACTTTAATGCAATGCGTCCGTCCTTTGATTTCTTGACTGCTGCTTCCATGATTATTGACTGTGGATACAAGTAAAATGAAATCTTTGACAACTTCAATCTTTTCTAAGTTTATCATGATGCTATTTACTGGTCCACTTGTGAGAATTTTTTTTTTTTACACTGAGGTGCAATCCATACTGAAGACTGTAACTTTGGTTTTCATCAATATGTATGTGATCAGTCATAACCAATGCATCTTGATTAAACATCTGATCAACTTCAGACTGAAAAAGTTTGTTTTTTGTTTCTGCTATTAAGTGCCATCGAACTGGTTCAGACTCATAGCGACCCTGTACAGGGTCTCTGAGGAGCAGCTGGTGAGCTGAACTGCTGAACTTGCAGTTTAAACCAGTCCAGCGCGTTAACCCACAAAGTCTCAACTGGAGTCTGAATTCTTCAATTTCTCCATAATTGGCTTTAGTGGTTGGTGAGGAAATTTGACTAATAACTTGTTTTAATTGGTTTTCCTTTTAGGTGTATGTATATTATCCTATCACAGACTGCACTGTACTTTAAGATATATCTTGAAATGTTCTGTTTGATAAATGAATACCATTCCTCTTTGTCATTCCAGGCATAGTAAACCACGTGACTGTCCTACTCAAAATGGCCAATACCAGTCCATTTCAGCTCACTAATGCCACAAGAATGTCGATCGTTATGTGTTCCACTTATTTTTTAAGACTTCCAACTTTCCTCAATTCATACTTCATACACATCACTTTCTGATTATTAGTGGATATTTGCAGCTGTTTCTTCTCGTTTTGAGTTGTGCCCCAGCAGCACATGAAAGTCCTATAAGCCGTGCTTTATCCATATCATTAAGGTCAACTCTACTTTGTGGAGCAGCTCAGTTGTATCTTGAGTGTCTTCCAATTTGGGGGGCTCATCTTCTGGCACTATAACACACCAAGCTCCACTGCTATTCATAAGGTTTTCAGAGGATAATCTTTCAGATAACCTTTCTTTCCCAACAGTTTCAGTATGAAAGCTCCACTGAAACCTATCATTGATGATCCTGCTGGTATTTAAAATACTGGGGACAGAGCTTCTGTCACCATAGCAACACACAAGCTACCACAGTATGACAAACTAAGAGCTGAGTGGTGGTATTAGCCATAGTTGTTACTAAGTTCTGTTGAGTCGATTCTGGCTCACAATGACCCTATATAGGGTTTCCAAGGAACTGCTGCTGATGGGTTTGAACCATCAACCTATGGTTAGCAGTACAGTGCTTACCCTATAGCGTCTCAGGACTCTGGTACTAGCCATTACAGAGATACATATCAAAACAACAATTAGATACCATCTCAACTCAACATTAATAACAAAGTTCAAAACAAAAAAGAAACCCAAAACAACAATGCTGGGGAAGACACAGAAAGGAATGAAAGAGTTAAAGGGAACACATGGATAGATACACAGGGTGAATGGGTGTGGGAAGAAGAGTGGGACGAAACCCCCAAAATGTATAAAGGTTTGACAAAGGATATTTTTACAACAGTATTTACCTTTGTTGCAAACATATCCATGAATGTGGTGAAGCATATAAAGGACAAAATTATGAAAACTTCTTAGATACTTCCAAATACTTTGAGGGAATGATTTGCTGTGCCTGGGGGGCTTATGACCAATCTTTTGGGACACCATGGTCAGTTGACATAACAGTATCCACTAAAACAATATTCTACATCCTACTTTGGGAGTAGCAACTGAGATCTTAGAAACACATTAGCAAGTATCTAAGGTACAACTAGTGGTCTCTCACTGTCTGGAGGGAAGAAGACTGATGAAATTGCTTGGAAATAATTAGTCCAATGAAATACACGGAAAATTTGAGTATCAGTCTCCACAATTCTGAGACCAGAAATAGATGGAGCCCAGTTACCATTTCCAATTATTGTAAAAGGTATCATATTAGAAGGTTCTGAAAAGAGTGGGAGAAAATTTGGGACAAACAAAGTAAGACCAGGCTTACTAGTCACATAGAAATGAAACTCGGAGACTATAGCCCTTCTTCACCCTTCAAGTCTGGAAGTGAACTCACCCCCGTGGCACAATTTTTAGTCAAGCAATAGATATGGACTTAGGGGAAGAGAACAATGCTGGGGAGCTTCACACACCATAAGGAGCTCTGGTAGCGTAGTGGTTACGAGTCAGACTGTTAACCTCAAGGTCAGCAGTTTGAAACTATCAGCTATTCTGCAGGAGAAAGATGAAGCTTCCTGCTCCTGAAAAGATTTACCCTATACAGGGTCTCTATGAGTCAGAACCGACTCCACGGCACATAACTACCACCACATAACACACCATAGAATGGTCAACTATTCAAATGGCAACATTTACTTGAGGGCGTGTAAAGGCAGAATGGAAACAAGAATACAAGGAGGAAGTGGGATAAGTGATATAACATTGAGGGAGTTGCAACTGAGAGGAAATAAAGTGTATGATTTGTTTAATGTAAAACTGATGATCTTCTCTGTAAAACTTCACTAATTAAAAATAAAAAGTTATTGAAAAAAAATACCTCAAACCAAGAATGATATTGGTGTCTTGACTGGATTACATTATTATCTTCTGTTACAAGGGAAATATTTGTGTTTCTTAGCTGGAGGGGGAATATATATTCTGCAGATTAGATATATAACTATTTTCTCTCTGTTGTTGTTTCTGTTAAGTGCCATCAAGGTGGTTTCAACATATAGTGATCCTGTATAGTGTTTCCAAGGAGCCCAAACACATTCATTCCATCTCATTTCCTATCATCTGATTTCTTCCTTTAGTATCCCAACTCTACAATTCTTTGACTCCATAATTCACTGAAGCTACTATAATCCATAACCCAATGCTCCTCACTCTCCTTACATTTTCAAGATCCTTCTCACAAAGCTTCACAATCATTAGGCTGTATACGTAGTCACTCCTTTGCCTTTGTCCCTCTCGAGTCATTATATTCTTTGGACTAGTCTTCATTACAATATCTTGTCCATTCTCTCACTCTCCATGAAAACTCACACAACTTTGTGTACAGAGTACTGCAGTAGCTTCCTAACTGGTGTCTTTATTTATAATCTTGTCCTCCTATAAAGTAATCTTAACAGAACAGTTAATTACTTTAGCCCTCTTATTCTGGTCCAGCCACACTGGTTTCCTTGTTGTTTTTTTTACAAAACACCTGCTTTGTACTTGGGGAATGTTCTCTTCCTTCATGCCTGTTGCACATGTCACTTCAGTGTACCCCCTTCTCTTTACACTATTTTAGATTACTCTATTTTTCATTGCTTTATTTTCTCATAGCATTTATAATGATCTCACCTAGTATATATTTAACTAGACTCTTGGTGTGATGCTGTAGGATCAGCACTGGACTTCGAACCATGAGGCCAGCAGTTCAAACCCACCAGCTGTTCCTTGGAAACTCTCTACAGGGTCACTATGAGTCAGAATTAACAATGACAACATGTATTTAATTTATGTATTTTTACTTGTCCCTTTTTCCCAGTGGCACAGCACTCTCACTCTCTGTGAGAGCACGTCAACTGTCTGTTCACCATTGTTCTCCTAGTGCCAATGATAGTTAGCGCCTTGCACACAATACAATTAGTAAATAAACTACTGAAAGAATAAAGAAAAAAATAAGTTAAACATAAACTTTTCTCTGGATTATTTCTTGAAAGATGTAAATAATTTTAAGTGAGATTAAAAAGGAAATATAAAAATGAAATATAATATTTACATAAACTTATTTCCTATGCAGAAAGATAAAGCCATGCTTCCTGAGAATTAATTTTTAAATAAGTCAATATACATATTCACTTTTAGAATATGACCATCTTCAGGAAACTAGTGAGCAATGTTTTACTTTCTGATGTTTTTAACATTACAGTCTCTACTTTTGAGAAAATAAACATTATCCAAAGCCAATGCCAGCCAAGTCAATTCTATTTGAAACACATATATAAAAAGTTCAGGATATAAAACTCTTAAGATGTTCCCAAAATACAAATTATTAGAGACAAACACTCACTTTTACCTGAATCCACATATTGCTGGATTATTGGTTATCAAAAGAAATTTCTATATTATAATTTATTTATGATACATTAAGTATTAATTCTTTTATACATTAATATATTAATGATTGAATGTTTAAATGCATCTAAAGTAATACTTTGTAAGCTAAATTAAAAAGCTATGTTTAAGGAAAACAATTTGGTTTTAAATAAACATACATGAAATAAATCTAGAGAAAGTGAGGCAAGGAGTAAAGCTATTTAAAATACAGTATTTTTAACACTTCTGGTTTGATAAGTTGATAAAATAAATGATAAAATACACAAGCATAACAAGAGAATTTAAAGAGTACATTAGAAATCAAACAATATTAATTCATAACAACACTCACCTACAACACCATTCAATACGACCTTCACCCTCACAAGTTTTTGCCCAATGATTATCTGCCAAATTTTTCATCGCAACAGCATATTCACATAGCGTTTCCTCATCTTCACAGTGTTCTCGCCAGATCTTATCAAAATCTCCCACTAGAAACAAGGAGGAAAAAAGTAAATTAACTTTATGTCAAAACATATTCAGGCTCTTTCAAAGCTTCAATATAATATAAAATTAAAGACAAGTATATAAGTAAAGGACTTCTATTGTGGCACTGTAGGATCAGCACTGGACTGTGAATCACCAGCCACTCCTTGGAAACCCTATATAGGGTCGTTATGAGTCAAAACTGACTTGATGACATTTAACAACATATAAGCAAAATCATAAAGGTAAACTAAAATACTAAATGTTATATAATCACCTTTTATAAGTTCCTTAACACACAATTTTAATTATGATTTAATATCTGATAGCAAATCCTGGTCACGAAGTGGTTAAAGTTGTCAGCTGCTAACCAACAATTCAAGGATTTGAACCTACCAGCCACTCTATGGACAAAAGATGTAGCAGTCTGCTTATATAAAGATTTATAGCCTTGGAAATCCTATGGGGCGGTTTTACTGTGTTCCGGACAGTCTGAGTCAGAACTGACTTGACCTAAGTGTGTTAGGGTGATTTTTTGTTTTTGAATAATCCAATAGGAAAATTAATAAAACCAGGTTCTTGCTTTGACTCTACAGTTTAATTAATTAACAATGAGATGCTGAAAGTAGATTTAATTTCTCTATGTCTATTTTCTTATCTTAAAAAACCCACAAGTTTTCAAAACGATGATCTTTGCTATGGTAGTGTTGCTAAGTGCACTAGAGTTGGTTGAGACCCTGTATAGGGTTTCTGAGGAACAGTTAGTGAGTTTGAATTGTCAACCTTGTGGTTCAAATGGGCCTTATGATCCAGTGCTTATCCTATAGTGCCACACACCAAGACTCCTGATATGGTAGTAGATGTGATTTAAACCAGATTTCTATGATCAAATATGTAGGGGAAAAACTAGGTATAATACATCTATATAAGTTTTCTTTCTATAAGACTTCTTAGTTTAGAATCTACAGAAGGCACACATGATTCTGGGTGCAAATAGTTTCTCTGGGAAATAATCCCAGGAAACAGAAGGGAGGGATTGAAGATGAAGCAAGAAAGGAGAAAAAAACAACACAAGACAAAATCTTGCTATCTTCATTTCTCAGAAGTATTTTGGCTGTACGTCTTACAAGGCAGATTTGTTGGTTCTTTTGGCAGTCCATGATACTTCCAATATTTTTCTCCAACACCATAATTCAAATGCATTGATTCTTCTACAGTCTTCCTTATTCATTGTGTAAGTCTCAAATGCGTATCAGGCAACAGAGAATAGCAAGGCTTGGGTCAGGTAGACCTTAGTCCTCAAACGGACATCTTTGCTCTTGAACACTTTAAAGCGATCTTGTGCAGCAGATCTGCATAATGTATTTGATTTCTTGATTGTTGCTTCCATAAATGTCGATCATGGATCCAAGCAAAATGAAGTCTTTGACAACAACTTCAGTCATTTCTCCATTTATCATAGTGTTAGTTATAGGTCCAGTTGTGGGGATTTTTGCTTTCTTTACATTGAGAGGTGTAATCCATATACTGAAAGTTTGGATCCACAGTCAATGCCCAAGAAAACAGTAGTCACGAAATCAAATGATGTATGACATTATGAAAATTTGCTGCAAAAGACCTCTTGATCTTCATCAAGTATTTTAAGTCCCCTTCATTCCAGCAAGAGTGATTGATATGTTTTTGTTAAGTGCCATCCAGTTGGTTCTGACACACAGGGACCCTGCATAGGGTTTTTGAGGCTGCAAATCTTTATGGTGCTGAAAGTTTCAGTTTCTCCCACAACGATGGGTTTGTTGTTGTTTTTATGTGCCATGGAGTCAGGTTCGACTCATAGTGACCCTCTACAGGGTTTCTGAGGCTGTAAATATTTACAGGAGCAGAAAGCAGTACACTTTAATAATACATACCTACTCGCAGAAGAAAGAAGCTCTGGTAGCATAGTGGTTACAAATCGGGCTGCAAACCACAAGGTCAGCAGTTCAAAACTACCAGCTGTTCTGCGGGAGAAAGATGAGGCTTTCTGCTCTCGTAAAGATTTACAGCCTTGGAAACCCTGTGAGGGTCACTATGAGTTGGAACCGACTCCACGAAAATAACAAGAACCACTCACAGAAGAATTGATGCTTTTGAGTTATGATGTTGGAGGAGAATACTGAAAGTGCCATGGGCTGCCAAAAGAACCAACAGATCTGTACTGAAAGAAGTGCAGCCAGAGTGCTCCTTGGAGGCCAGGATGAACAAACTTCATCTCTCATACTTCAGACATACCGTCAGGAGGGACCACTCTCTGGAGAAGGATATCATGTTTGTGGTAAGGTTGAGGGTTAGAGAAAAAGAGGAAGAACCCCAATGAGATGGACTGGCCAAGTGGCAGCACCAATGGGGTCAAGCGTGGCAACAACTGTGAGGTTGGCCATGACCGGGCACAGTGTTTTGCTCTGCTGTACATAGGGATGCTATGAATCAGTACTGACTCAATGGCACCTAACAACAACAACTCATGGTATGGTTCTGTGGGTTAATGCGCTGGACTCCAAAGTTGGTTTGATCTGCAAGGTCAGCGGTTCAAGCTCACCAGCCGCTCCTCAGAAACCCTATAAAAGGTCACCATGGGTTGGAACCGACTTGAAGACACTTAACAACAACAACAACTCATTTGGAAGTAGCCTTGGGAGCACAGTGGATTACAAGCTGGGGTGCTAACCACAAGATCAGAAGTTCAAATCTACCAGTCACAGATAGGAAGAAAGATGAGACTATTCCTGTAAAGATTCAGTCTCAGAAACCCTATGCAGGATTGCCATAAATTGGAACTGGCTTGGTGGCACACAACCACCACCATCATATTTAGAGTCCTGGTATGATGCTGTAGGATAAGCACTGAACTACAAACTGCAATACGACAGTTCAAACACATCAATCACTCCTTGAAAAACCTATATAGGGTCATTATGAGTCAGAACTGACTCGATGACACTTAACAACTCCTCATTTATTGACTAGCACATCATTTGACATTTCAGATTTAATACAATAGTTCTGCTGAGGTTCCTGTTGGGGTCCCTTCCTAATTGGTGGACCTTATGTGCACAAAGAAAGGAAGATTGTATTCTATTTATGAAAAAAGAGAGGGAACTATCTCTCTGAGCTGTCAGGGTGCTGGGTAGCATGGAAGGTGGACTGGAATGGAACCAGAAGGGATGGGATACTGCCTGCTGGGTACTGGGTACCCACAGGGCTGAGGCCAGACCAGTGGCAGTCAATGTTTTCTGAGAGAAGGTGGGCCTCTCACAAAGTTGGGGAGAAAACAGCAAGCTTGATGTCTTGCCCAGCTCCCAGCCCTGAGGAGTGGCAGAGTTAGGCTGGGCTGTGGTCAGAAGGAGCTCTGAAACCAGAGTGTCAGGTATCCAGGGCCCACAGGACTCCAAATCAGCTGAAAGTCACTTGTGGGGCCCCTTACACTTCCTCTTCCCTATTCACTGCCTAATCCTCACATGCAAATGAGGCTATTTATGACAATACCATGGCTTGGGTATTGTCAATACCAGGGCACACTGAAGTCCTCAAACCTGACAATACCAGGGCACACTTTAGTCCTCAAACCCGACATCTTTGCTTCTGAACATTTTAAAGAAGTCTTGTGCAACAGATTTGCATAATGCAATATCTCATTTGATTTCTTGACTGCTGCTTCCATGACTGTTGATTGTGGATCCAAGCAAAATAAAGTCTTGGACAACTTCAATCTTTTCTCCATTTATCATGATGTCATTTATTGATCCAGTTGCAAAGATTTTAGTTTTCTTTATACTGAGATGCAATCCATACTGAAGGTTGTAGTGTTTGCTCTTCTTCAGTAAGTATTTTAAGTCCTCTTTGCTTCTTGCAAGCTAGGTTGTATCATCTGCACATCACAGGTTGTTAATGAGTCTTTCTCTAACTCTGATGCTACGTTCCATTTCATATAATCAGCTTCATGGATTATTTGCTTAGCATACAGATTGAATAAATATGGAGAAATAATACAGCCCTGGCATACACCTTTCCTGTTTTTAAGCCATTCAGCATTCACTTGTTCTGTTCAAATGACTTGCCTTTTGGTTTATATACAGGTTCCTCAGGAACACAATTAAGTGTTCTGGAATATCTATTGTTCACAACGTAATCAATACTCATGATCCACACTGTTGAAAGCATTTGCATAGTTAATAAAGCACAAGTAAACTTTCTGGTATTCTCTGCTTTTAGCCAAGAGACATCTCACATAAGCAATGCTATTCCTAGTTCCACGTTCTCTTCTGAATCTGGCAGTTCTTTGTTGATGTACTAATGCAGCTGTTTCTGAATTATCTTCAGAAAAATTTTACTTGCATGTGATATTAATGATACTGTTTGCAGTTTTTTGCATTCCACTGGGTCACCTCTTTTTAGCATGGGCAAAAACAGGGATTTATTCCAATTGGTTGACCAGGCAGCTGTACTCCAAATTTCTTGGCATAGATGAGTGCCTTCAGTACCACATCAGTTTGCTTCAAAATTTCAATTTGCATTTGGTCAATTTCTGGAGCCTTGTTTATGCCAATGACCTCAGTGCAGCTTGGAAATCTTCATTCAATACCATTGGTTCTTGATTGTATGCTACCTCTTGAAATGACTGACTACCATTAGTTTTTTTGAACAGTGACTCTATGTATATCTTATCATCTGCTGTGATGCTTTCTGTATCATTCAATATTTTGCCCATAGAATCCTTCAATCTTGCAAGTCAAAGCTTCAACATTTTCGTTAATTCTTTCGGCTTGAGAAATGCTGAACATGTTCTTCTGTTTTGGGTTTCTAACTTCAGGTCTCTGCACATTTCTGTTCAGCTCTTTTACTTTTGATATCTTCCAGTCGTTTGTATTTCTACACTGGAGAGCAAGTTTCAGAGTCTTTTTTGGACCCCTATTTTGTTGTTTTCTGTCTTTCCTGTATTTTGAATGACCTTTTGCTTTCTTCCTGTATG